GGGGTGAGCTGCTGAAGGAAACATCCAGTAAAACAAAGCACCTGGCTCATTAGGACCCTTCGAAGTAGGAGGAAAGACCCCCATTGATTTCAATAGGCATTGAGCAACCAGTTGACCGCTGTCCGTTGGATGGGCAGGTGTTGCATGCAAAATGGCTTCCATTTGCAACCAGCCCTGGGGAGAGCCCAGGCTCTGCGGGAGAGGGAGGATGGTTCAGTGGTTAGGATGCTGGCTAGGGACTCTGAAAACCTTGCTGTGATTCCTTACTCTGCTATGGTCTTCTGGTGCGACCTGGGGCAAGTCCCCTCTGGGGACGGGAGCCGCGTTAAGTGGACTAGCTGGGTCTGCAGCTTTTCTGAGCCTTGAAAACAAGCGCTGGAACCGGCACGGTTCTCGATGAAGGGTGCAAAGCCCAGGAGGGACGAGGGGGTGTCCCCAACACATGTTGTTTGCTTGCACCAAGTTTACCAAGCCGTCCGGCTCTCTCTGTATTACTGACCTGCCTCTGCGTTATTTACCGCTCCCCCAATCTTTGTGTGGTCGGCAAACGCTGTCAGTGATGACTTTGTTATCCTCAAGGCCAAATGTTAAGTAGTGTTTATTTCCCTTTGCAGGTCGGGTTTTTAACGGTTCTGCAAAACCCATCGACAAAGGCCCAGCTGTTATGGCCGAGGATTTTCTCGATATTAACGGTAAGCCCGTTGCAAGAAATTAAGTTGGCAAGAGATGTTGAGCGCATGATCTAAGGGGCACGGACCATGTCTTCCTGTGTGTTGGGATGACACTGAGTGGCCCTCTAGCTGTCAGTCATAGCAGAGAGGCCAAGGAGAACAGGTCCATCAATGGCTATTAGACAAGATGGGCAGGGATGCAACCCCATGCTCTGGTGTCCCTAAACCTCTGACTGCCAGAAGCTGGGACTGGACGACAGGGGATGGATCACTCAATAATTGCCCTGTTTTGTGCATTCCTTCTGAATAGGGTGACCAGCCGTCACGTTTTTAAAGGGACAGTCCCGTTTTTTGGAACTTTTTCGTATATAGGCGCCTATTACCCCCCACCCCCTGTCCCGTTTTTTCACAGTTGCTCTCTGGTAACCCTACTTCTGAAGCACCTGGCATTGGCCACTGTCAGAAGACAGGATACTAGATGGACCATTGGTCTGACCCAGCATGGCCGTTCTTATGTTTGTACTTTGCAAAGCGGGGCAGGCAGATCCCAATTTTACAGGTGGGGAAACTGAGACTGAGACAGGCCATGACTCGACCAAGATCACAGAGCAAGTCAGTGGCAGATCCAAAGAACCCAGGTCTCCTGGCTACCAAGGGCCAGGCCCTAGTCCCTGAACCAGGTAAGCCAGCACTAAAGGTTTCAGATCACATTAGCAAGAGGCTGCTGGGCTTGAATTTGACCAAGTTACCAAGGTTGTTTTTTATTAATAGGTAATAAATTCCAATGTGAACAGTTATTTTTGTGAACAAATAACCATTGTTCTTTGGTGTTTGCAATACAAACATTGCAGCACTGGGCTTGTGCATGAGACTCTGCAGGTGAAATTGACTAGGGACTGACAAGGACCAATGAAATGGACCAAACTGTTTTAATTGCCCAAGCCAAGTGAAGGGTAAGAAGGGAACTGAAGTCAGTGGGGAGATCTTCCTGGCCAGTGTGAGTTAGATGAGGCTCCAAAGAATAGTGTTGCCTCTTTGGTCCCAGGGGTTAGCCAACATCCAGGGTCTTGCTGGGCTGTTTCGGTGAGGATGAGAAATTGAAGCTTGGACTCGGGTATATTCTCCGGTGAAGGGTTGTTTGTTTACAAAAACCGTACGCAGAGTCCTGCTTCCCAGAGCACAGTGGGAACAAACAGGAACAGGTTCCCTGCTCAGAAATCCCCATCTGCCCCTCCAGCCAGCTCTGTGCCCAAGAAGCTTTGTCCCTCTGTTTCCTCTCTGCATCGCACTCACAACTCCTCCCTCTGCCTCCAACATCCACAATCAATAGTGGAATCTCAGTCACTGGAGGTTTTAAAGAGCAAGTTAGACAAACACCTGTCAGGGATGGTCTGACTCTAGATAATCCTTAGTCCTGCCATGAGTGCAGGGGACTGGACTAGAAGACCTCTCGAGGTTCCTTCCAGTCCTACGATTCTATGAATATCCAGCCTCTGCCTTTGCAATCAGTGAAACCTCTTTGAATCTAACTGGGTTAGCTCTGTGTTGCCAGGCGGCCTGTTGCCTTGCACGGTTGCAGCTGTTTTTACTACATAAAGGGGCTTGATTGTTCCGTCTGTTGAGTCAGATGGAGAGCCTGGTACCACTGGCTTTAACAAGGTGTGTGATTGTCTTTGGGCCTAAGGGCTTGTCTACACTGAAATGCTGCAGCTGCACTGCTGCAGCCCTTCAGGGAAGCCGCTACCTATGCCAATGGGCGAGGTTCTCCCACTGGCGTAGGCGCTGCACCTCCCTGAGAGACGGTAGCTAAGTCCACCGGAGAATTCTCCCGTCGACCTAAAACTGTCTACAACAGGGGTTAGGTCGGTATAACTGCGTCGCTCTAGGGTGTGGATTTTTCACACCTCGAAGTGTAGTTATACCGACCTAATTTCCTGGTGTAGACCAAGGCATAGACTCACCTGATAGCGACCATTGCCCAGGACAGCAGGCCCAGAACGACACTCATCTTTCTGGGCCTTTCTCTCTCTCTCTCTCTATTTGGACTATTTTCCCCCTCTATGTGAGGTTTTTGTATTTTTCATATCTAACAGTTCATTTCCCTATCCCCACAAAACCATCCAGGTCTTTTAAGTGACCCTACAATAACAAATCAGGTCCATGAGCGTCCCCTGCAATAACCCCTTCCTGCTTTCTTGTTTCAGGTCAGCCTATCAACCCTCATGGTCGCATATACCCTGAGGAGATGATCCAGACTGGCATCTCGCCCATCGACGTCATGAACAGCATCGCCAGGGGGCAGAAGATCCCCATCTTCTCTGCTGCTGGACTCCCTCACAACGAGGTAGGACCTCGCCTCTCTGCCCATCCCTCCCCGTCTCCTTCTGCAGTAGGGGCGGCCAGGACACATGGGGCGAGGGCGGACCCGTCTCTGCTTTATGCTAACACCAGAGATGCTGGATGTGGGGTTCTCGTGGCATTGCAAGTGCTGGCACCACCAGGCCCCCGGTATCCATGGACGTTTCCTGCAGGGAGGGGTGCCTGGCCCGGAGGATTGGTAATGGTGGCTGGAGTTTGAATCCCCTGTTCCTAGCTGGCCCAGTTCGCCCTTCCCAACAGCTGTCCCTCATTGGCTGGCTGTGAGATGCACCTCAAGGCCTCCTTTGCCAGCAGGCCGGCCCAAGACCCCCCCCAGCACCACTGACTCCTCCAAATCCCCGCTGGCAGCCTCAGCAGGGATGCCAAAAACTGGGTGGGCCCGGAAGAGTGAACGAGACCTTAGAGAAGGTCCCCCTGAGTCAGAGCTGAGACCCCCGGGCAGAGCCGTGTGTGTGAGAAGCCTGCCCTGGCTCTGCCTTGTGTGGTGCCTGTCCCGTGTGGCACCTGGTTGCACTCCCAGACTGTCGCCATGACACCGTCTACCATCCATTCATATTACTGCTCTACAGCATGTTCTGCAGGCAGGGTGCTGGCCTGGCACTCAGGAGACCTCGGTTCTAGGCCCAACTCCAACCTGCTGGGTGACGTCCAGCAAGTGGCTTCCCCTTCGACCCTTGTCTCTCCTAGAATCATAGAATATCGGGGTTGGAAGGGACCTCAGGAGGTCATCTAGTCCAACCCCCTGCTCAAAGCAGGACCAACCCCCAACTAAATCATCCCAGCCAGGGCTTTGTCAAGCCTGACCTTAAAAACCTCTAAGGAAGGAGATTCCACCACCTCCCTAGGTAACCCATTCCAGTGCTTCACCACCCTCCTAGTGAAATAGTGTTTCCTAATATCCAACCTAGACCTCCCCCACTGCAACTTGAGACCATTACTCCTTGTTCTGTCATCTGCCACCACTGAGAACAGCCGAGATCCATCCTCTTTGGACCCCCCCTTCAAGTAGTTGAAAGCTGCTATCAAATCCCCCCTCACTCTTCTCTTCCGCAGACTAAATAAGCCCAGTTCCCTCAGCCTCTCCTCGTAAGTCATGTGCTCCAGCCCCCTGATCATTTTCGTTGCCCTCTGCTGGACTCTTTCCAATTTGTCCACATACCTTCTGTAGTGGGGGGCCCAAAACTGGACACAATACTCCAGGTGTGGCCTCACCAGTGCCGAATAGAGGGGAATAATCACTTCCCTCGATCTGCTGGCAACGCTCCTACTAATACAGCCCAATATGCCGTTGGCCTTCTTGGCAACAAGGGCACACTGCTGACTCATATCCAGCTTCTCGTCCACTGTAATCCCTAGGTCCTTTACTCCTGTCTATTTAGATCGTCAGCTCTTGGGTAAAGGGATTGCCTTTCACTAGGCCCCTGGCACAATGGAGCCCTGATCTCCGTTGGGGCCTGTACATGCTGTGTTATAGAAATACCGTGAATAATACCCACCCGATACCTCAATCGTCAGTAGTGTTGTCTGTGCGAAATCATCCCTTAAACAAACCCAACTACGCCATTCTGCCATTCCAGTTCTTCACAGAGGTGTTCTCCAGGCTCAGATCTACCCTCCTGGAGGGATACCGTCTCCCCTGCCTCGCCCCTGCTCTAGTCCGTATACGTTCTTATTCGGCATACATCGCCTTCTAGATAGGCATTAAGCTTTGCGACACCATATCTGTCACGTGTTTGTTCTCCATCCTCTCCCCAGGGGAGATGTGTGTGTGAAGGGGCCTGGGACCCCAGCCAGGTGTATACAGACCATAAGAACTTAGAATACTTGCGTAGGGCCAAGGCCCTTAACCAGAAACAACTTCAGTGGGTCCTGTTCTTTTCACACATCAATTTCAAAATCTTCTATCACCCAAGAGCCAAAAACAGCAAGGCCGACTGTCATGGGGCCCACCCCACTCAAGGCCGGAGGTGTAAATTAGGACAATTAACCTATAAACTGCACCTGGAGGAAAGCCAGGTAGTGCTAAGTCCTACCTGCTGATGAAGTCCAGCTGGGGAGGAGGTGGGCCGGGGTTATGAAGACAGGAAGTTGGCAGCAGAAAGGGGGCAGTGGAGGAAGTAGTCTGCAGTTGCTCCCTGGGAGAAAGGAGTTTGGGCTGGTACACCCAGAGACGGGGGGAGCCAGGAGGCAGGGCTGAGAAGTAGGAAGGAGTCCAGGGAAAGAGCAACAGGGTCTGAGGAAAAGCGGACTGGACTGGGACCCGGAGGAGTGGGTGGGCCCGGGTTCCCCTACCAGCCCCGGGGGGAGTGGCAGTAGAGCGCAGACTGCCTAGGACGGTTGTCCGAAGAGATGTTCATACACCGGAAAGGGAGGACTATAGTGACCTGGCCGGAGGGTTGAGTCATGAAGAAGGAGCACCCCGAGTTCTGGAGAAAGAGGGAGACCACAGGGCAAGGAACCGACAGGAGGAACCTGGAGCCAGCTAATCCCAAAAGCAGCCAGGTGGAGGCATTCCAACTGACACACTGTCCCAGAACGGGGAACATTACGCTGACCTAGAGGATTTGAACCCTGAAACCTTCTGCGTCCTCAAGCCTCATAATTCCAAGACCTGCTCACTATAATGCCTCAGCCCATAGGGTCCCTCCCAATGAACAGGAGTCCATAGATAGGGAAGGGAACCCCACGGCGTCTGAGGCGGATAACCTACTGGAAAAGGGTGTATATACGTCCCCCCAGAATGCCGAGAAATACAACTCTACAACTCTGTCACGACTCTCCCCAGGTGGGATATTTTGGCCGGGTCAAGACTCAGCACCTAGTCTCTCATCTCTACTGGCTGCCTTGCACACGAGCCACGGTGCAGGCCTATGTCGGCTCTTGCAATGTATTTGCCAGCCCCAAGGTGCCACCCCATAAAATCCCTCGGGCTCCTGCAACCCCTCAAGACTCCATCTGGGCCCTGGTTAGTCTTTACCCTAGATTTTATACTAGAATTATCCGAACCCGCTGGGATCACCACCGTTGTGCCGGTGATGGGGACCACCTCACAAAAACGGCACACTCCATCCCCTGAACTGGCTATCCTCCTCCCAGGGGGCCACCTGGCTCTGGGTGGATCAAGTTGGCTGCTTCCTTGGACTCCTGGAGGCCTCCTGGTCTCCATCATCTCTGACCGCAGAGCGTAATTCATCTCTAGCTTCTGGCGTGAAGCCTTCCCAATGTCAGGCACTCCCTCTCGTCTCTCTTCCGCCCACCACCCTGGGATGGGGCTTGCAAACCCCACACTAAGGCTAAGGCAGGGGATAGGCAGCAGCCGTGCTGGACCAGGAATGCGCTGCCCCTCAGGCACTGCTGAGTATGCTCCTCCTCCTCTGAGACATCACCCCAGGGATAGGCAGGGGCACCAGAGGGTCACCTGGGTCAGCCCCGAGGTTTGGAGCAAAGGACTATTATTAAACAGCAGCCACACCTCAAACTGAGCCAGCGGGTGGGGTAGGGGAAGGTGAGCAGGAGGTGGGCTGAGCATTGGCCATCCTGTGCTGTCACATTTTCAGGGCCCCTGGGCCAGGACCCAATGGAGCAGGAGGCCCAGGTCCCCCTACCCACTCCAAATTCTCCTAAGCCGAGCCCTGGGACGGGCAGGCCTAGGGGGTTACCAACAAGGAAGCCGACCCAGTGGAACCCCATTTAGGTGGTGCTGGACATAGTGAGCTAAAGGAGAGATTGGAACAGCAGGTCCTGACCACTAAGCCTGATCACCGAAGAGACAACCCCACTACACACTAGCAAACAAACGGCAAGTGGAGAGAACCAACCAGATTCTGAAGCAGTTTCGATGCTACATAAACTACCACTAGAACGACAGGTCCGCAGTGCTATCTCGTGCAGGGTTCATGTACAATAACGCAGAACACGCCTCTGTGGGGCAAAGACTCTTCTTTTCAAACTGTGGATTCCACCCTTGGTTCTACCTGAAGTTTCCCCCAATCCAGCAGCCCTGGACTGGGCACAACTCCATCAAACCCAAGATGACACAAAGATTCCCCCAAAGGATGCCAAGAGGAGCTACAAACAGTATGTGGATCTCAGTCAACATGAGGGGCCCGCCCTTTCAGTAGGCCAGATAATACGGCTCTCGATAAAACATCTACATATGGAAAAAGCCATCTCATACGCTGGACTGCCAGTTCCTCGGCCCCTACCGAGTTTGCCACCAAATCAACCAGGTCACCTTTGAACTCCACCTACCTGGTTGTTCATAGATCACTCCAAGCCCCCCACACAGGGTCCATTCCCAATCCTCCCATGATGGTACATGTTCAAGATCGTGATGAGTATACTGTCCATGAGATCCTCAACTCCAGAATGAGACATGGTAGGCTCTGGCATCTCATCGATTGGGAAGGTGGCGGTCCTGACGAGTGCTCCTGGGAGCCGGCAGAGAATGGCCACACCCCTGACCTCGTAAAGACCTTCTATGAGAACCACCCCACTGGTTCCCCAAGCGGTGCCCAGACCGTGACCACAACCCAACAGTTCTCTCGAACCAGCAGGGGAGAGGACCAGCAGAACTCTCGCCCACTAGAGGCTCCACCCACGAAGCGCTGGATTGGAGCAGACGTCTGGTCCCACTGACTGGCCCGGCCGCACTATTTAAGCCAGAAGGAGGTAAAGGAGGTTGTCCAAGCAACTGAGTGAATTCCTGACCTGCTGCTGTCCTGGATCTGGCTCCAGCTTGGCCCTTGGCATGGTTGTCTGACTCTCACTCCAGTCCTGACCCTTGGCGTGACTCTTCACACTGTTTCCGGCTCACCCTTTGGCATGATCCTGATTCTGTTTCCTGCTCTGACTCCGGCTTTGCTGCCGACCCCGGTTCTGACCATTAGGCCTGACCACCCATACCCTGGCCCCTACACAAGACAGCTGCTGTACATCAAAAAAGGAAATCCCTCCATTTCCACC